TTCTTCCAGACATTACCATGGTTGCAGGCAGATTTGTGCTTTTCTCAAAATAATTAATGGTGCCCTATTTTCCTTACAGCTTTACTTTCATGATGGCTAAGGATATTTCTTCTATTTCATGACTTGTCTCCTTGCAAATGGTGAATACTTTTCTTGTCCTGTAAACAAGCTTCAAAGTTTATGGTGTGACCGAGAGGATGACTGATCTGCAAGAGGGTGCAGAAGGTTTCAAAGCCTCCTGTTAATGTAACCTAACAGGCAGAATATAAAATAACGTAAGCTCCACTGTGACTGTAAGTCAATTACTACGTATTCTTTAAAGGAGTTCTTTCTGCCATTTCTAATAACAAGGTGGAAATAAATTACAGGAAGTTGGAGGATATACCCAAATAGACATTCTTTGACCTGTATGTGGAGCTGTGTCTAGTTGCAGAGTTAGGGTTATAGGTAAACACAATGAGTGATAAAGCTCTTAATTTTTTTTTCTTGACTAATTCTTTTAAGTTTCATTACAGTATTTTTTCTAGGCATAGGTTTCTTTCATACATGTATTACTAACTCAAAACCTATGTCGAATCAAAACAAACAAACAAACAAAAACACAAAACCTATGTTGAGAGACATATATTTTTCTTCTCTTCTTGTGATATAAAATTAGTTCAAGCAGATATGTGAGTTTCTGTTTAGACCTATAAGAGCAGATCCGACTCATAGAGACCCCTCCTTGGGTTACTGAGGCGGTATCACTACAGAAGTAGGTTGCCCAACCTACCTTCTGAGGAGTGTCTGGTGGGTTTGAACCGCCAGCCTTCTGGTTAGCAGTCAAGTGCCTTAGGCACTATGCCACCAGAGCTCCTAGCATGTATTTAGTACCAAAAAATGAAAGAGTAAAATCAAAACTTATTCTACTCTCATCCATTGTATGTTGTCAATTAGTCATGCAAATGACTTTGGAAAAAAAAATTAAACAGACTATGACACTACTGAAAATATAATGATCTAATGATATTAATCCACTAAGTCTTGGGCTTATCCTTGTTAAAATGGTAAACCAGGCCAAATTCTTCTCTAGTGTATTCAGTGTCCATTGTATTTATTTATTTATTCAGCTCCCATTTCAGAGAACTTCTCTTGGTTCCAGTCCACCCAGAGGACCCTTGGAAGAAAAGCTTGGTAATCTTCCAAGGTCAGCCGCTGAAAACCTTAGGAGCACGGTCCTACTCTGCACACGTGGAGTCACCATGCATCAGAATTGACTTGAAGGCAACTGGTACTTCTATTGACATTCTCTCCTCCGTTGCCTTGGCATGCTGTCCAGTAAGCGGTCATGGGCCATCCCAGGAGAGAGCAGAGTGAGCTCCGAGTCCCAGAGGTACCCAGACACTGGTGAATCCTTGCTCTCTTTCCACAGGGCATCTCCACGTTGAGAAATAGGGTTCTGGACAGTGTTGGCTATTCTAATATTTCATTTCAGGCCTCTGTGGGAAACACTTAGAAGTTCATAAGACCTTCCTTCTACCCATCTAATCAGAAGTTAGTTATTTTATTTTTTATTTTTAGCTAACTCTGATGAAACACTTAAACAAAGAAAATAAAATGATCTCCTATTGATCTGTCTATCTGCATTCTAAAAGAAACCTGCATTAACTGACTATCCTTAAAAACTGCTATGATTAGTGAACAGGTTTTGTATCCTGGAAGGACTTGATGGCAGTGGGTATGGGTTTTTTTTTTTTCCTCAGGAAATCATGGTCAGAAAGAGATTTTGTCCTTAGAAGAAAAATTGTGTTAAAATCACATCCCACTTGGGCTATTCTATTTGAAAGGGTGCTTGATACAAAGTGGGCATTCAAAAAAGTTGTTATTCTTTTTTTTCCCCCCTTTCCTATCTAATCATGAGAGTTAATGATTTAGAGCTGACTTTCAGTATCGTAATTAACTGTAATATAGAAAACTATTTATGATAACAAATGGACTAAATACATAGTTATTCCCACAGTTGTATTTTTAGAAACAATAAAATGATAAATCCTCTCCTTATAAAGCTTTGTGAGGATTTAAAAGAGATTACATGCCTGATTAAATTCATGAAACACAAAGTCAATTTTTTCCTAACAAATAGTGGCATGCTTGTATACATATGTTCTACACAAGCAAATTTGTTTGTGGTAGTCTTTTTAATAAGGAAGAATAAAATGATGCTGCTTAAAACAACAGTCTTATCAGAAATTGCTCTGCTAATTACCAATACAGAAACACAAATGTTTGCATTTACTAAGGGTAAGCATTGTTGTTGTCAACTTATTCTTAAAAAAATATGCCAGTTCTTATTAAACCAAAAAACTGAAGCCATTACTATTGAATTGATTCAGACACATGGTGACCCCACGTGCACGGAGTAGAGCTGTGTTCCATGGCTTTTTCAAAGCTATGACCTTTTGGAAGCAGATCCTAAGGCCTTTCTTCCAGGGTAGCTCTGGATGGGTTTGAACCATCCACCTTTTGATTTGTAGTTGGGCACTTAACTGTTTGTACCACCGAGGGACTCCTAGTTCTTACTAAGTTCACTAATTTTGACAATAATAAATGGAAAAGAAACATCATTCATAAAGTTAGAGTTTTACAAATGTTCCTACTCTGGGGAAATCTGGGAGGATTGTCGTTGACGTCAGTCAGCGTGATGTTCACTGTGGTGGTACCAGATAATCCTCCCATCTGGCCGCCCATATCCTTGGCTTGAATCACCACTTGGTACTGTTCCCTGTTTTCTCGATCCATGTTGAGCAAAGCTGTCTTGATGATACCTGTGGATGTGAAATTTAGGAGTGGAAAGGGATGTATTAAAACCATCTTATTGAATCATTGATTTGTGCAAACAGATCTTCAACTACTATATGCAAAGCACTGTGCAGACATCATGGGACATAAAAGTGATTATAGAGAGCCCTTATAGTGCAAGAAATTACAGTTGTGCAGGGAGCTGGATGTATTAAAAAAGGACAAATCAAAAAACAAAACAAAACAAAAAACAAACAAGTTATAATAGGAGAATGAAAACAAATATAAGTCAAATCCTACAAAACAATAGATTGGAAGTAGTATAAATATTAAGTGCTCTAAGATGATACAGCAAAATATAACCTGGCATGTGGTAAAATGGTATTTTACAGTAGCTGCTTAATAAAAGACACGTAGGTGCTTTATGAGGGGATTGTTAAGAAAGCCATACACTTGAACTGATTCTTGAGTTCCACTTTACTGAACTGGCTAATTGCTCCTCAAATATACCTACCATAATGAACGTTCTGGGAATTTTCTAAACCACAAAACTATGGTCTTAAGAAAAAAACAGCATCAGTTCTCTTATAATTATCATCTTGTGTGATTCTCAAGAATTTAGCTTTTCCTGAAGCTGTTGTGAACATTAGCTTAACTGGTCCCAATAGTGAACAACATTTTAAAGCTAGGTTAAATTATCTCTATTGTTAAATAGTTATAAAATAATTAGTTGAAAGAACTTCTTAAAATTTGCCTATTCTCAATGAAGGATTTATGCTTAAATTAACGTTTCTTCAAAAATTACCCAACAAGACTTTATAACCTTCTCCGGTAGCACTTTCCAGTGCTTAACAACTAATGAAGCTGAAAATACCTTTTTTATTTTTAACAAGCATACCTCAAACACCAGGTCAATTTTATTTGGATAATCCTGGCTTCCATGAGAGAGCAGCTGCTTCCTGTTCCCCAAATAATAGTATTTTCTATTTAAACACAGAACATCACCTTAGCCTTTTGTCCTTTAAGTTGAATAATTCTAATTTTTCATCCTCTTTGTTATTCAACTCAACATTTTCTTTCTCCTTGGGATTCTTTCCAAGTTCATTGCTTCTTTTAACACACCAATTTCCAGCTAAATGTAATAACCAAGAAAAGTTTTGATTTCTACTAACAATTACAGATTTTTGAAAAATATGTCAAAGGAGCTCAGATCATGTTATGATAGCAAGGATAAATAAAAATATATTTATTTTTTTTTTTAATAAATATCATTTGCTATACAATACAAATGATATTTATTAAAAAAATCATCATAAGGTAGTGTTATAGATTAAGTTGTGTCCTCCTGAAATATGTATGGAATTCTTGACCCCTATACTTGTGCATAAATAATAGATTTGATGCATTGAACACCAATGACTGAAAACCAGAAGAATTGTGGGAGGATATCAAGAACATTATCCATGAAGAAAGCAAGACATCACTAAAAAGACAAAAAGAAGAGAAGACCAAAATGGATGACAGAAGAGACTCTGAA